TAACCGCAAACATGCCGCCAGCAATAACAATTTGTTTACGTAACGATTGCTCGGTGAATATGAGTAAATTTTTCTTGAAAGCAGTATTCTGTGCGACCCAATTACAAGAGAATATGGCATAGCTCAACTGCTCGAACTCCATTTGGGCGCTGGTGCCAAAGTAGCAGAGCGGAAAGACCTCCAAGGGCATCGCGAGCAAAAATACCACATAATATACATAAGAGAATATATCATTCACATAGAAAATCAAATAAAAAATTACTACACCCATATTGAAGGCGGTGACCAGAATTTGCACAAAAGTGCCGAGCGAACAGATGCGTTGTATGGCAATGCGAAATCTGCAAAAGAAATTTATAAAGACAAAGAAAACTTCGATTCAAAACTAAGCCGACTGAAAATCATGTTAATTGTGCACCCACTCAAGTAAATCCTTGTAATCCTCAACGCATTCAATAAACTGAGCATTATGCGTCTGTTTTGTAGAGCCACCACTCGACGCGTGACCGACACGTGCCACACGCAAATTTAGCAAACGCACATGCCCGGCCAGCATGGCCAAAGCCATTGGTGGAAATGTATCATTAATTAGATTTTGAAAAATCTGTGCCGTTACACCGAAACACTGGTAAAAATGCGCTGTCGTATAGCCGAAAATGCTGCGATCCGTGTCGAAGGGGAAATAGGCTGGATACATGAGATGCCAGTCACCTAGAATACCAGCAATGATGGTGGCCACTTCGGAGGTAATTGCCGCGCCGAGTCCAATGAAGAGCACAAAGTAGAGTATACTCTTAGCACGTCCAAGTGCGATAGTTTTATACAAACGAAAATCATCTAACTCGGATATGTGTTTTTCGAGTTTCGAAATGATGGCGTAGATCTTTTGCACTTCAGCTAAACGCCACCAAAAAGCGAAGGTTTTTATGCTGCACGCCAAGCAGGTGAAGTTGATGGACATATTTTTGAATACATCCGACTGCTTTTCACTCCGAATTAAGCCAATCATTAGATGTGTGGGATAGCCAATGGTTATGATTATGTTTAGTAGTAGTGAATATAGGTAATACAAGTAACGGTAAAGCGGTGTTGAAGGCGGCATTTGACCGAGATAAAGCCAGGTGACGTCGTGAAAGTGAAAAACCGAGAGACCAGTAACAAAAGTTTCTTCCAGTGTGGCTGACATAATTGTTGATATTTTATCACTTTGAATCATGTAAATTAAGCACGCTTAAATGTTAAACACTTCTGGTTGATAATTTCAATTAAAATGTGTGTTATTGATGTTTCGGGGGGACATTTTATATCAAATTGGTTCATAGGCGATGAATGAGCTCATGAATTTTTAAATAATTATTATCTAATTAATAATTATAATTATTCGTAATGGTGTCTGGTTAGTTAATTGTCATTTTTAATATTTAATTCAATTATTTTTATTCGATGCTAACAAGAGCGACTCTTTGGAAATTTTCTCCACATAAAAGCTTTCGCAAGAAATTTTCTGATACCTCTCATGAACTTCAAGTACAAGCGACTTTTAGCCGAGCTCCTGCTCCAATTTTTGGTGTGTGTCTTGATGCCTTTCGGCACGGCTGGTAAATTTTTATGAGAAGCTTTTTTATGTCATGTAAGAAATACACTCGGAGAGCTTGATATATCCTGTCGTGTGGCTCAGTTTTTGAGATTTTTGAACGAAAGGTCATTGGACGATAAGCATAGTGAATTGGTCGCTGAAAAGCATAGACCTATGAACCTTGATCATTTCACGACATACTGTAACGAAGAAAATACTTCGAAACAAGTTCAAGACCCTATTTATTACCGTTATTGAAAAAATTAAAATTTTACCAACATTAAAAAAAAAAAAAAACAATTTCTTTCACAGGGCCTTGGGAAACGATTGCCACGCTAGTAGTTTCTTGGAAAGAAAATGAATACCTGTATCAGCTCCAAATTTTTATTATTTGAATTTAAATTTTTAACGATGTTAGGCTTAGCATTAGGTTTTTATAATCATTTTTTTCATTATACATTCTGGAGAAAATAATAAGAACTTTATCGGCTAACTAGGTTCGACAAAAAAAGCGAGTTTATGTTCAAAAATTTTCTTATTTGAATTTTTAACCAAGTTAGGATTCTGGAAAAATTTTGTAATCATTTTTTCTGAATTCTTCAATACATTTTCTATAGACTTGGGAGTATCGTAAATTTTCTGTACACCATAATGAAAAAAAAAATTAAAAACCGATTTATTTTCCGATTGCACACAAGAAATAACAAAATAGGAGAGAGACTCCTCTGTCGAGGCATTCGCCTTAGCATTTGGTAATTTTTAAGCTGTTTTTCGAATTTTCAAAACGTAAAACTTTTCAACACAACATTAAGGACAACCAAAAATCGCGAAATTTCTTTGCGAACACGACGCCGAAAAGAAATCGGCTTTAAATGCCCATTAAATACAGCGCACTCGAAAAGACTTTACTCAGAGATCGATTATCCGTTTTGAAAAATAAATAATAAATAATAATAAATTTGTGTTAACGGTAGTTAGCGTAAAGATAACGCTACTTAAATACAAATAAACTAATCGTTATAGCTACGTAATAAATCAGAAAAAGTTGCTGTATGGATTTACTGCTCAAAAGCGATAAATTTGAAAAAAAAAAACCTAAAGTTAAGAATTTACAATCATTAATATTGAAAGAAATTATTTAACTCATACATACATTAAGCGCGTGCCTGTTTTGCATGTGATGTTTACTGCATATTTTTTTACATATATATATATCTTTTTTTTCAAAGTGAGTGAACTTAATAAATATTTAATTAATTGCTAAAAGTCACACTGGTAAAAAGCAATGGTTCTTTGCAATAACATATAAAGGGTTATGCTTTTCGTGGTTTCAAAAATAGAGGACTGTATTTTGACATTTGTCAAACTTCATTGTCAATCAAACATGTCCGAAACAGCTGTCATTTTAACCATTTTTTTTTTTGTATGACATAAACAATATTCAAAGCATACAGTCCAGATTCTGATTCAATCGTGCCCACATTTCGTGCTTTAAGAGGAGGTTATGGGGTGCATAATCGTTCATCTACTCAAGAAAATTATTAAAATTTTATAAATATTTGCACAGGCTGGATCATTACAAATATTGTAAGGTCTGCGCATTGTCTTTAAACGACAAGACACATTTTACGAATTCCTATCTGCAGGGCAATTCTCTATCGTATTATAACGATTTTCGGATCGTTATAATGACTTAACGATAATTTTAACGATTTTGCTATTCTCTAAGCACAGTATAACGATTTTCGGATCGCAAAGAAGACTTAACGATGTTTTTAACGATAATCGCTATTCTCTAAAATGGTATAACGATTTTCGGATCGCAAAGAAGACTTAACGATATTTTTAACGATATTCGCTATTCTCTAAGACTAGTATAACGATTTTCGGATCGCAAAGAAGACTTTGCGATAATTCTAACGATTTTAATATTCGGTGTACTTGTTATAACGATATTCGCTCTCGCTATTGTCGTAAACTACTCGAAAAATCGCTAACTAAGCGACGAATATTTTTAAGTTGTTAGCGATATCGACAAAATTTTGTTATTTCATTTAAGAGAGTAAAGTGTCCGGGAAATTGTCAAAGTTATACAAAAATAAAAATAAAAAAATAAAAGAAATGGTTTTGAATATTTGGCATACGTTTTATCACAATATGACGAGGTATCCTAATCTTCATCATTGAATAGAAGTTTGCGTCGAGAAGCGGAAGATCCTTTTCATTTGGATGCTACCGAGTTTCGCCGGATTTAGTTGAAGAAATCGTTTCTGAACTAGATTGCCAACTAAAAGGAAGAAGAATAACAGCATTGTCTACGGAGAAACAGGTAATAATATATATTTTCAATATTTTTTTTAGTCTTAACACTATTATAATGTTTAAAGGTTCTACCCGCCTCGCGATTTTTTGCAATGGGCATGTCCATGAGTCAGTCGTCAGTAAACCGTTGTGTTCATCGCGTAACAGACGCAATCAACCGTTCAAGGTTTTCTGTTAGTTTTCCAAATTTTTGCTTCGTCATCGTCACCATATGTTGGAGGCACTATTGGAGCTATCGATTGCACATGAGTTAAAAACCATGAAGAAGCGTATATAAACCACCATGGATACCACTCCATCAATGTGCAAATGGTGAGAGTAAATTTGTTTCCGATTACTATTGTAGTAACAAAGTTAATTATATTTTCACATAGATATATGGTCCTTATCGCAAGATTATACTGGCAAATGCCAAGTACCCAAGAGCGCGGCACAATTATTTTATTTGGAGCTCCCCTATAGAGCGAAGAGTCATGCAAGAAAGTGCAAACCATAACATGCTATTGAAAAACTTTGTAATGCATTGATATTCTTTTAATAAAAATAATTTCAATAACAAATTTATTTGTTTTTTTTCATTCCTCTTTGTGCTTTTTGTACATTTTGACGTTTCGTTGAGCTGTGGTGCCACCTTTCCTACATTTTAATAAAATGGAAATGTGCGATGTCGATTATCGTAACAACTGCGTTAGAGAATCGCATAATCGTTAGCGCAAGCGACAAAATTCGCAACTTTACGATCCGACAAATCGTGTCGATAAAAGTTACAGAATTGCACTGCTGGTGTGCTCCTTTTGGTCCGAAGGTGTGATTGAACCTTACTTCTTTGAAAACGTCAACGGCGAGACTACCACTGCCATTATGGAGTGTTTTGGTCGTATATTAACTGATGTTTTTTGGAGTGCATTTGAAGAATGAGCGGCGGCTCATATAATGCCAAGAGACTCAAAGTTTTTAATAAAAACGGCATTTCATGAAAAAAATATGTTAAGCTCATTATATTTACGTTCATTTTCGAAACCGGAAAGTGGATTAAACTATATTTCTTTGTAACAAATTTGAGTATTTTTTTGAAAAATATAATATTTCTTTGCTGACTTACCTCGGACGATTTTGCATGAAATGCTGTCCGCCAAATATCACCAACATGTAAATGCCGCAATAGTAAAATACCCAAGTCCAATTCTCCACCATCCATTTACGTGTACGTTGATGGATAAAATCATTTTCGAAATCGAAAATGTATGAATAATTCGGTGTAACGCTTATATCCATGTTCAACATTTGTCTTGTTGTTTTGTTTTATTTTTGTATTTATTTGAAAATTTCTTTAAATTTATTATTTTTATTTTTTTTTTCTGTAAATTACTTTATTATTGACTGGGTAACTGTTTGGAACGTTCTAAGTATTGTATGGTGTTTTATTTGTTTTTTGCTGTTGTTGTTGGCATCACCTAATGTAGGTGTTATGTTGTTTTCGTTTTGGTGTCCAATTTTTTATTTTGTTTTTTATTTATATTTATACTACTTTTACACTAGGTATTTGTGACAATGCGTGCTTTCAAGCAATTTTCCGTTCAAAAAAAATTTTTTTTTTCATTCAAATTACGGTACTAGCGAAAAATTTTATTGTCGTTTGACGGCGGCTGCGTGTTTACTGCTGAAATGAAATTGAAGAAAATTTTTTTAAAGAAATTAGAGATAAGCAGCTGCAATTGAATTATTTGTTATTAAAGATTATGACGAAGAAATGCATGTTTGAGAAGAAAATTTCATAATTATTTAAAGCTCTTCGGTTACCTGTAATCCTCTCCCAATAAATGACCCTAGTTCACCCTTGAACCCCTACCACGCTGGGGAACCCTTATGTAAGGAAGAATCAAACCCTTAGGAAGCATCGATTGATATAATATTTTTTGGTGACTGTCGCTACCAGTTAGTGGGTGGTCCGTGAATAGAATAGCGTCCAAAGCAGTATCAAGCTATGTATACACATATGTAATAGTACTTCAGCATCCCATTGAAGCAGCCCATAGACATGCACGTATCATGCGTCTAATTTACCGGGTTGACGTATAACTAAAACCTTTTGTACAAGTATAGATGTGTGCAAAAATCGGATGTTGGCTAGTCATGCATCATGCCACTTTATGCGAAATAAACGACGAGCTACCAAACATACACAGCCATTTAGTGTTTAGCTTTTCTGGCGTATTTTTTTTTTATTAATCTGCTACAAATAGTAATACTTATATACATACTCGTACATATGCATGTGAGTATGTACGAACCGGCGATAAGCTTATGCGCTTGTCAAGAAGGACTCAACATTTACACACCATCTTTATATATGAATGTATGCATGTATGCATGTACAGAGAGTACACGCCCACGCTATGTACTCTAGAAACGCTCAGGTATATAAGTACATAGATACATACATATAAACATTCATATTATACACGTATGTATACGCATATTCAATGTCATCGGGCTTTATTCTCTCTTTGGCCACTCACTCCACTTCCACTTGGCAGCGCATCCGCAAATAATGCTCGCACTCCCCCATCAACAACAACAATGATTTTAATCAATAACTGCGAAAACGGCTAGGAAACGACCTTGAGTGTGATACACACACCGGCACATACCGATAAACGGGAGCGGCGGCGCCAGTTGACTCAGGCAAGGGATAGTGTGAGCCCAATGCGGACATCTAAGCAACTTAAAAGCAACACTTGAGCTGCATGTACTTTAGAAAAAGATTTTTGTATTTTACGACAGATGCAGTGATAGCATTTTCTTTGTTTGCACTATATGTATGTACTTCAGAGTATTTATTTGTTTTTTTTTTCCTTCTCTTTTTGGTACTTAATTGTATACTTTTGTGATTTTGTTTGGCTTGAGATTTACTAGCTTATCTGATGCGTGTGTATGTGGCTCGTCTATTCAATGATACTTGCAAAAATTCTTTCTAATTTCATCTGCAATCGACATGTTTGTCGCTTGTGTGTGTGGCAGGCATCGGACTGCGACGGAAACACCCACACTCATTAGCGTTTTTGGCTGCATCTGCCGCAATACATCTGTTGTTGCTCTTTATAGAATCTTTAAGTGTTTTTTTTTGTCCACCCACGTTTCATCGTCTGCTGTAGAAGAGATGCTCGTCTGTTTCATTTCCCAACCATTTCAGATTTTTCTGAATGAAATCATTCACCATCGCATGGTCACTTCACCTGTTCCCCCCGTGGTACGTAAAGAATGTGTACAGCAATTGCTTCCCTGAGTTAAATCTACCCCATCAACCACTTGCATTTGGGCTCTCTCCCTCTCTCTCTCTCTCATGAGAAATTCTCTTGAATATATTTGTTATTGTTATCTTGTATGTTCAAATATACAGAGGTGTGCAAAATTTTTTCCATTATTTTTACTTCCGTTTTTTAAACTCGGCTTATATCGGCTCTCCAATGTAAGGGCAACAGAAGTCTTGTGTTTTTAATGATCAGCATAGAATTCTGGTATCACAGTAGGAGGGGTGAGGCAAGCTTATTCATGCTTTAAATAAACTTAGACTTATGTTACTTGCTGACCTAAACTGTGTTAGGTTGCCGAAAGGGTGACAGCTCATGACCGGATAAAATCTGGTTCAACTTCGGTGCGTGAAACCGGCTGTCGTGAGGCTACATTCAGCGCAACTGCTGGACAGGCATTAAGCTCCATTCACCGAGAGTCCATCAATGCCTTCATGAGCTCTCTTCTGTTTACTATAGACGAGAGTCCCGCGTAATACTGGCATAACGATATCCAGATTAAATTCCTACTTATTCAGACTTGACCCCGACCTTATGCCCTGCTTGCAATGAATCAACGCAAGACACTAATCACCGCTTTACATGCCCCTTAAAACCAACGCCTCTTTTCCTCTGATCCGTATCAGTCGAAACAGCTTCCTGATCTAGCATGCTACTAAGCGGGACTGGTAGACTTTAAATGAACCCAAGAAACTTGGTAGATAGTAAAAGTTGCCGCCAAAAACATTATCAAGCACGTGACTTTAGATAGCTTCATTCTATACTTTATGGAAGGTTTTTTAACTTTTAGTGGTTAGCACCGTTTACTACCATGCGTATGGCCCCTGATTTGATTCCTGGCCAGTCGTAATTCCAAAATGACCACCGAGTATATGGTATTTCTGACATGAAACAAACGGCGTTCAGCCGTTCGGATGCGGCTTGGAATATACTTCGGGTTCCTCTCTTTTTTGGAAAAAACATCGAAAAATCAAGACGCTCTACAAAAATCAAAGGAGCGGAGAGGAGAGCTTCAATATCCATATCTTATTAGTGGACTATTTACTCGGGTTTCACGGAGTACCTTAAGCTCTCTAAAAATGGCATTCACAGCCTATACGTAGCACTCCGCTGCAGGCCGTTCTGTTACATCATGCAAAATGGTGTATTTATGGCCTAGTTCTTTCTTCCTAATGTGCTTCTGAGGGAAACCTTCCGGTATTAAGACCCGACTGTCGCAGCAACTAGCAGATTTTAGTCACCCCTTAGGACAGGTATAACTTAGTGCCGGTAAATTCTTGAACCCCTAACCGATAGGGCACACTTGCCTTTGTCTTTATTCGAAGTGCTGCTAACTAGCGACTTGAGGAGCTCTTTACCAATGGGTCTATGGGTATACTGTGAAGCTGATTAATTGCTTGAAGGCTGTCTTTGTACAAAAAAATTTTTTTTTTTGTGGTTTACGTCATGAACCTTTTCCAACAAATGGATGGATCTACGATTTATTTTGAGGCGCCTCCGAATGGCTGGGTTTATTTCCTTGAAGAGCTTTTATTTTATGTCAGAAATACACAAGCATTACCGGCCGAGATGCGATGTTGGATGTTGGTCGAACCAGAACTCGAACGCTATTCTTCAGAATGGCAGTACGCAATGCTAACCAGTCGGCTATTGCGGGCTCTCAGTGTCAGAAAAAAGTTCATCTCTAGAATTGACCTGTCTATTTATTGCCTTGAAAATAAAGTTTTTTATTTTACCGCTACTCCTCGCCTCCGCTATTTTGCGCATCACTGTTAGTATTATGGAATATATTATATTTGCAAGCACGAGTACTCATAAGGCTCGCGCATCTCATACATACATACATGCATATGTCAGCAACAAAGTCTCGTGCGACACCAAGTGGCACCAGCAAATAGATTAAGGTGCGCTTTTGAAATGATGTGTGCGGAATAGAAAATATGACCTAGCGACTTGGCGTTGACGTTGATTTTGTGAATATTTTTCGCAATGATTTTCCTCGACTGAATTGACAAACGAAATGTCAGCGAATGACAGTGAAAAGTATATAAACACAGTAATACAAAGGAAATAAGTAAATTTAAGCGCAAAAATAATAAATGAACGTTGTGGGTGCTCCTATTATAATGGGTAGTAGAGAGAAAAAGAAGAATAAAATAAACTGGCACAATAACTAATTCAAAAAAAAAAAAAAAAAATATATATATATATATATATATATATATATATATATATATATGTATATAATTTTGGTTTGGTATTTTTAAAATTTTAGCAAGAGGGTCTACAGTGCAAATGCTCATGCATACGTATATATTAATATGCATATGTATATACATATATAAGAATACATTCGGTCAAAAAAAATCTTTTGTAAAGAAACTGAATTATGAAGAAAGCGAATCCATTGAATATTATAATTATGGGCACTTTTACAATACATATTTACTTACATATATACATACATACTACATTGTACTAACATACGTATGAATTTTCAAAACTGGACCAAATAAAAAGAGTATGTACTTCCACTTATAGGTAAACACAGGCAGACGCGACGATAAGGCTGAACAAGTAGACTCACACAAAATACGTCAAATCATAATTGCTCGCCAAAATAAGTTGTAAAGCTCGTCAGAGAACACGCCACCGCAATGATTAAAGTATATTCATAAATATATATGTAAGCAAATAAGCATACGGCGCTAAATTATACAATATATGTATTGTATGTATGTTGCAGATTTGTGCACAGTGTGATTGGAATATGCAATTTTTTCGTATTTAAAAAAAAAAAAAAAAAAAAAAAAAAACATAGAACTTGATCTGAATTATGATTATGAAAATTTGCATATAAAGTACAAAGCACATATATATTGTATGTGTGTATGTTGGAATTAGTAAGAAAACTAAATACTAATATTTTATTGCCCTAGAAACAATGTTTGTTAGATGTTTTCCTCCTGTTGTATGAAGCTAGGAGGATATTTATGGTCAGCTTTCGTAGTCAACAGCACAATATTTTCGAATCTCGTGATATACATTTTTTGAAGCAGCGTCGTCATATTCGTATTTTTTTATCATATGTTGTACTGTATTTTTTAATCTACATACACACACAGGTGCAAATGCAAAATAATCAGCTGATCTCGGCAAAGAAAAAAAAAGTCATCGAACACGTAGCAATGAACAACCAACAATTTCGGACATTTTTGGACCAGTACAAAATGTTTGTGTTAGAAAATTTTTCAAGTGAAATTTGTAATTAAAAATTATACAAAAAAAAAAAAAATTAAAAAAAAATTTAATTTATAAAGAAACCCATGATTAATGAAATGTAAACAAACGGTCTTTCAAGCGGAATTATTTGTTATCTATTTCACGCGTAATTATGTGCATATCTATGTACAGCTGCGAATACGAAAAAAGCAGTACGTACCGATTTTTTTTTTTTTTGAAGCAATTTTCGAACTTACGCATTTGATTAAATCGTTTGTTTTATATAAATAATATACCACCAAAAGATTAAATGAGATTGAATTTATTTTGAGACCGTGCAATTTAACGCCTTTAGACAATTTTTTGTGGGGCTATGTTGAATCTAAAGTCTGTCTTCGCTTCTATTGACGCGTTGGAGGACAATATTGAAGCATTTATTGGTAAGGTACCGGCCGAAATGTTGGAATCTTTAAATATCATCTTCTTATTGTTGTTGTAGCGGCTTCGTTTACCCCGCTTAGAAACAGGTTAATAAATCTGTCACCGAGGTCATCTAACGGAAAGTCCAAGAAACGTGCTGAGCCAACGGAATCGGACCAGAGACAGTCGGTTCTAAACTCTCAAGACCCCGGTTTACGTCAAGAAGTAACATTATTTTATTTCCATTCTCACTTTCTTGTACCAGTTAAAAAAGAAGGTTATGCACCATTTTTTCGGATATACATACATAAGTAAAATAATTTTTTTTTTTTTGCAAAATATCACTTTTCTCGGCAGAAGAGTTGCATTCTCCCGTATGATACACTTTATGTGCCCATAGCTGTATTTACATAATATGATATACATTTATTTTCGTTAAAAATGAACAGAAGATATAGATATTCCATATAAGGATATTTAAATTTTCTATGAAAACTCCTGATCCGCTGGAATTTTGCAAATATTTTCAAAGCCACATTATTTTTTGAAAAATCCTATATAATTTTTGTATACTTGTAGTGAGTTATCAAATAATTTTAATTATCTTTTTATTTTTTATTTTTATTGTTATACAGATTAATAAAATTCTACCAAAGGTACTGCTATATTCATGCCCACGCCTGTACATACATTCAGACATATTCATTTAGATATCGAAATTTAGATTAGATACTTTTCCGAGGTTATTTTGATTACATTTTGAAGCCATACAAAACACCGTGCGCACATAAAAGAAAGTAGCTTCATAAGTTTAGTTATTTACACGCGCGTAAATTTGAAGAAACTAAAAAACTGAGCGATTAACTAACAAAACTATAAGCAAGCATGACTACATACATATTTATGTATGCTTTGGTAGGTAAAGCTAGCAAAGTATAACCAAACTTTTCGTTGAATTTACTTCACTCATTTTGTTTGCATTTTAGTTAGGGCTTTTAACAAAAAAAGAAGTAATTTTTATTTTTCTACTTTTATTTCTGCATGAAAATATGCTCTCTTTGCTATTGTATTTGGCCATCTTTCGTTTGCTGTTTACACGAGTGAGTATAAGTGGATATAAAATTTGGCTAGTGCTAATGTGCAAATTTAGCATGCGCTTCTCTTTCATATTTTTTTTATTACAGATACGAGTAACCACGCGTGTGTGTATGTACATTATATATGGCAGTTTTTGACGCTTTGACCGTCCTCCACCGCCAATACGCTTAATTTTTATTAAAGCTCAGCTTTAGTGAAGTATCCGGTTTGATTTTAATATAATTTTCTTGTTGCTCCCTTGTATATTCACATGGCGGTATCATATATAAAGATAGTGTACATATATTGCATGAATGTAGGCAGAAGCGAAAATTTTGCAATAGCAGCAAGTTAGATTTCAATTTAGCGACAGCTGAGGTGATGATCTTCAAAGAAATCTCTGAGTGATAGAACTGATAGAAGTACTTGCCACGCTCCACATACATAAATACACCTATGTATGCAAGTAAATGCAAATAAATAGCACGCAAGTAGATTATTATGACATTCGCAAAATTGTATAGGTAATTTACTTGATATGAGAAGCGAATAACTCAGAAAAGACCTTTATCGTAGTGGAAAAATATAATGTAATGTACATATGTTTGCATGTTGGTATAGCAGTTATTTTTTTACATATATACATATGTATATAAGCATTAGATATCACAAGTAATTCATTCCATTGAACTTCATTATTACTCATTTTTGCACATGTCGGCGCTATTTTAAATGCTTGCTAGCCGACGTAATCGATAAAATTCACATGTGGAAGCGAATGTTAAAATCCAACAGGAAAAAATTTCTACTATCGGATTTGTTCTTTATATCCTTAATAATCACAAACACGCACATTTTGAAACGCAAGCAAATATGTTTTACCACCAAATACTTCCTAAACAAGTTTTCATTTAATTTATACACAATAATTTACATTCGCAGAAATATGAATATTTACTTTTTAATGAAGTTTACTATTGAACTTTTCTTAAACGCGTTCCAACACTTTCCCCAATTTTTCTACTGCTTCGACAGCCGGGTCTGACTGATTGCAAATTGGTGGGAGCTCCATTGAAATACCCCGCTTAGTGTTGTCGAGCTGATATTTCTTTTTCTACTACTCTTTTATTTGTGGAATGAAATTGGGTTAGGTGTGGGTCTTGGCTGATAATTTTTTTAGATTGAAAATAATTTTATTCAATTTTGGATAAATAATTGAACAAGTAAAATGCTAAGCAGTTAATATTTATATTATAATTAATTGCTTATTTTAAAAATTATTTTCAACAATAATCTTGGAGTCAAATCTTTCTAACGGTTGTGATGCAAGCTATGCAACCCTGCGGTAAAACATTTTATTTATAATTTTGTGATAATTTCGTAAAATGTATGTTTAAAACAAAAACAATAAAGCCTTATTGTTATATATATTTGGAGCTGAATGTACATTGTATAGGAACAATCCGTGTGAGTATAATTTTTGGATCTATTTTGTTATTACATGTTGTAAATTCTTCTAAAGAGCACTCTGTTACCAAACAGCTGTTATTGACATTTGAATATTGACATATGGTTATTCAATAGCCCCAACTGGCTCCAACATCGTTTGCATATCCAATAGTCTCACATGCAAGTTTTTAGTTTGGTTTATTTGTTAAGTTTTTACTGGCATAGTGTACTAAAGTTAAAAATTTAAAATGTTATCGGTGCGTACGCTACTGCCATGCAGTCGTACATTGTTTTCGATTGGTCAGCGTGGTTTAAAAAGCGTGACAACCTCAAAAACTAATGAGGCTGGAAATCTTCTATTTCCATTCAACTGTACGAAAACCCCACAATATAGTCTTGTCGCACGACAACAACGTATGAATGCAACCACCAGTTCACAAAGTAACGGCGCTGAAGATATACGTATATACTATGGTGGACTAGCACCAAGGATGAAAGCAGTAAAAGTTTTTTCACTCACCACCAGTTTGGCTGGCTTGGCTGCACAGCCAATACTATTAGAGCAGGGCTTGCACATTGGTGGTAAACCGATGGCTGTGTTTCTTTGCGGATTTGCTGGTTTCTTCACATTTGTTACACCATTGCTATTGCATTTTATTACGAAAAAATATGTAACTGAAATTCATTACAATCCAAAGAGCGATGAGTACACAGCGACAACAATTTCAATCTTACTTTACAAAATTAAAGTGAGTAGCAATCACATGGGTAATGGTAAAAATTTAAAGTATTAACTACTTAATTGCAGACGAAATTCAGGCCCAGTGATGTTGCGGTGCCTGAAGTGCCTGGCATGTTTACATCTTTTCACGTGAAAGGTAAACCATTATTTGTTGATCCTGCACTTTTTGATGACCCAGAGCATTATGCGCGAATAATGGGCTATGACAAACCAGTTGATTTTAAATTAGACTTAACGGAGAGGCCGACTAAATCTGATGAAACCCTAAAGAAAACTCAATAAATAATTAGTTAAAACCATGAAACTTTACACGAATTATACATTTGTATGCATCTAAATGGGTGGTATCTGCACTTTTTGTCGCTTTATATATTTATTTTTTTTAAATACAATTTGTTTTATCTGCGAAAATAAATGGTGCTGGTTAAGAGCTCTCTTTGAAGGCAGATATGAGCAGATTTACTTTATGCATTTTGTAATAATATTTCCACAAACCGATATTTTGTTTTTATTATTTCAAATTGATATCGCCTGAATTTCATAATTCATTAGTATTGCTACATAAGCAGCCAAACCATTAAAATTGAAAGCAGTGGCCTCAAAACTGTGCCAATCAGCTGTTCATTTGTTTACCGCGTTTTAGTCCATAGAAAAGCGAGCTCGTTTCAATAATTTACCAAAACAAGTAAAATTTCAGTTAAAGACAAATATACAAGCGATAATGACAAACAACGATTTAAATATATCTTTAGAATTTAGGTAAGTATTGGATTATTAATAATTTATAAACATTAATAATGCACATACATTTTTAGTGCCGGCGCCGAATTACTATTTGGAAACATTAAAAAACGCCAAGTGACATTGAAGGGTGAAGAAAAATGTGAGTTAACTGCATATAAGTATATAAATCGGTATTTTATTATATTTATACCGAAGGGACGATACGCAAGCTGCTAAAGTGGATGCACGCCAACATTTTGACCGAACGACCAGAATTATTCATACAAGATGAGTCGGTGTAAGTTTTGTGGGTTTCCTAAGATTTTAAAAGTTTTGTATTGATTTAGTTATACTATTTGTAGGCGTCCCGGCATTCTGGTGCTTATAAACGATACGGATTGGGAATTACTTGTAAGTGTTGTTCAAAAATTAGTTATAAAATTATTTTAATTATGTTGCTCTATTACTTTTAGGGTGAACTGGACTATGAAATACAGCCGAACGACAATATTTTATTCATTTCAACCTTGCATGGTGGATAATTGCTGCTTGTGTCTATTTTATATATAATTTTCTTTAAAAGCATTTTTATTTATAAGAAAAATAAAATAATGTTCTTACTATTAGCGAACCTTTTTTTTATGCAAATTAAATGTAAAATACCAAGTGAGTTGACAAATACAAATGGTTTGGTTCTTTATTGCGGAAAAAGGTTTGTGTCTTTGATATTTATAATTAGCTTCATAACCTATCAAACATTGGTCACAATTCAAAATAGAGTTTGCTTGGCACGATGGTATTGTGCTTGACTGCCATACTCTTGTTCGTTGGTTCAACTCCCAGCGTGCTGAATCACTTCGAAATTTTGTAGTGCAGTTTTTATGATGTAAAATTTTCACCCGAATAATCGTGTGGGCCTTTGCCGTTCGCGGCGAAGGGACGTAATGCTGAATTAACTGCACTTTTTTTTATTCATGAGATTAAGTATATTTTGTTAATATCCACTGTAGGACAGTTTTGAAAAAAATGGTGAAAATTCGCAAACAGATTTCGGTTACAAAGGCGTCGAAAGACTGCGAAAATGGCATTTTAAATTTTTGCTTGAATAAAAAACGCTTGGATTTCATTTTAGTTATTTTTTTTATTACATTTTCTTTATATTTGCTAGACATGCAACTTATTTTCGTAAATAATTATACACTTTTTACACACATATGCAATGCAAAGTGTATAATAGTACATTAAATACATTTTAATTCACTTTTTTTTTTAAATTTCATAAGTTTCAATATTCGTAAAAATAACTTTACATATAATATAAAATATCGTTTATATACATATATATGAACTAATTAAAATAAAATATCGAAATTAATTTGTGATATGAAAATGTGACTAAGCTAAATACATAAATTTCAAATAAAATAAAATTATTTAGAGGAATTCGCATTATATAATATTAGTGTTTACTTGTATAAATATAAATACATATACATACATATGTTACAAACGGTATTTTTTGTAAATATTAAAGCTAATCGAAATTTTAATATGAAAGTTGAAAATATTTATGCATAAATTGCTATGATTTTGTTTTTAATTAATTCACTATTTACTTTGCGCTTCGGCAATAAAAAAATGTTGACACGTAGAAAGAGAATTCAAGCAATTTAATTAGAGACTACAATGTGTAATGTGTGTATGCTTGTAATCAAAAAAATTTAATAATTCTCGCATTCAATGTAAATGATTTTTTAAAAATTGTAAAATTTAAAGCAAAATGTAATTAAGCACTGGTTGAATTAGTGTTGTTTTTTACCAAATTATTTAATAATATTGCTATTGATACTAACTAAAACAATGGTTAATAACCTGCAGTTTGTATATAAAAATGCATTACTTTTATGAATTAGAGAAGATTAATGCTAATTTGTTGCTTAATAAATAAAAATATATATATTTATACGCAATGGCTTAGCAGTAATGAAAAAAATCAATGATTTAAAAAAAAAAATAAACAAAATAACAACAAATAAAAATTATATATTTAAAATCAAATACTAATATCTATGAACTAACGGTAAGCGCAAAATATGCCCATATTCGTATGGTGTATGGTGAAATTTAGTAAAATTGTGTGTACACATAAAAACCACTTAACTAGCTTTTTTAAGTAAATATCGTATTATACTACATAATTCATTTAATAAAAAAAAAAATATTCCAAAATTATTTCTAAATATATTTTCGACATTTTCCAATTTTTCTGCTTTCTCTTTACTAAGTATGCGCAGCTTTCCGCTTAAGGATTATACGGACCGCTTATGCTTAGGCGCTCTTGCAGCGCTGCTGGCGCTGATTGTTGGTGTTGTAGTTCTTTATGTTCTCTATGTTGTTGTTGTTGTTGTTTCGTGTATTGAAACCGTTGACGACGCATTATTACGGTACCATCGCCAATAGTGGCTGTTGTGCTGCTGGCATTTGGTGATGAAAGCGTCGCTGCCGTTGTTGTTGTGGTTGCATTTAACCAACTACATGTCGCATCCGTTTGCTGCTCTTGATCCGGCGTCATAGAGATGTCGGAGAGTATGCCGCTTTCTGCATGATGAAGATATGATTGATTGATTGATTGATTTTTGTTTTTGATTTTATTTTATTTAACAAAAATTTGCCAATAAATAACCGATAGAAGTGAAGGTAGATAAGTGGAGTACAATAAACATAACAACAGGAAAACATAAACACATACATACATAGATAATAGAAATTTTGAAAATATTTACAATTCGAAAAATTATAAAATTAAGTAGATTGTTTTATAAAAATAAAAAAAAACTAGTAAAAATAATAATACTGATACAAATAATACAACAAAACACAGTAGCACATAAACATATACATAAATAACGTACACATGCAAACACTTACTTAGAAAAAAAAAAGTAATTTTTTTAATATTTTTTTTTCTTAATAACTTTTTTTTTTATAAATTAAGAAATTAAAACTTAAAAATATGTTAGTAAGACAAGTAGCAAATTTGCAAACAACTAATAACAAAAACAAAAAAAATAACACATTTAAAAAAAGTAACTCAATTCAAGCTCAATACCCATCGACAGTTGGCTGACAAGCGTTGTTGAGCGTTTCGAGCGCGCTGTACCGCCACTGCCGGCGCCACCTTTACCACTGCCGCTGTGACCGCTTCGACCACTGCTGCCACTGCTACTCAGCGTATTTGTATTTGTGGCATTTGTGCCGTTATTCGCGTTTGCGCCACCACCGGCGCCACCGGTTAGCATCAAAGTTTGCGTCTCATTGATTAGTTCGAGCGCGTGATGACTGCTTACAGTCCCGGTGGCTGACTTGCTGTTACAACCGCTACCGCCAACACGCTCCTGACCCGACGAGCTGCCCGTGCTGAGCGAGGAACTGCTTGTGCCGCTCGACAGTGAGCTCTCGGAGATGAGTGAGTTTGGGCGTCGAGCGCTCTTTGAGCCATCCAAATGCATGCCGGCGAAGGAGTGGCGTAATTTGGGTGCTAAAAAGAAGAATTCTTTTCTGTTTAGATTTATTTTGTTCTAAGCCATATGTGTCCCTCCTTACCTTTACCAAGTTGTGATATCGTTATTGAGCGATCATTTATCTGATTATTGCTGGGACGTATGTCCAGACAGGGTTTGCTACCGATGCCCATCGAAGACATTTCGGCTAGGCGAATTTCTAAAAAAAAAAAAAATGTAAAGAGAAATAAAGTTTTGAAATGCCACCGTAATTACTATCCCTCTACTATTTCCAATATTCCAAAGCATTTTCCTCAGCTTTTAAATAATTTTACCTCGATTTCGATTCGCTTGTTTCCACAATAACTTCGATATTTCGTCGGTCCAAGCATTTTTGATGTCCTCCGACATGCATTGCAGCGTCCAGGTGTCTTCCGGTTTACGTTTACGGAACCAAATTTCAAATTTCGTTTTAGAATCACCAACATGTGCCGTCAGGCCAATATCCGAGGTCTTGATGCTATTCTTATAGATATAAATGTCAAGGTTCTGGTAAAGAGAAGAAGTTTTTTTGGTTAAAAAATTATTCTTTTGTCACAAATTCATTAGCTTCTCCGGAACCCACCTTCTGATCCGGAAACCGACGTGCCTTACTGAATAGCACAAGATCTTCAAAGAGAAATATTTGACGCAAAGATTTTTTACCGCCACGTCCTTGCCATACGAGAAATTCATTTTGACGCATCAGACGTCCTTGCTCCTTGACATTGACATCACAATCGCGTAGTGAGTCCATTGCGAGTAGATCATTACCATGTCTTAGTTGGAACTTAACCATTTCTTCAGCACGTTGCAGTTCTTCAACATCGGCAGCGATCTCTTGTAGTGCGGCACCCTGGGAGGAGGAAGAAGGAGATAGCAGGAGATGTGAATTAAAGACAGAGTAAAGAGTTTTACTTATTAAACTTGGAAATACTGGCAATAAGCTTTTTAGACGAAAGCCTACAGACAGAGAAATTCGACACGAAGCCAAAATCTACACTCTAAAAGGTCTACGCTAACTCAATAACTGAAGATTAGTTCGAATCCGTCATTCTCAAGTGAATTCAAACCCTTCGGCTCTCCGAGCTTGTCTAATTCCAGAAGAACTCGTCATGCTCAAGTGAATTAAAGCTTTCCGTCTCTCTGAGCTCATTTATTAACAGAAGAATGGTTCGAATCCATCATTCTAAAAGCAATTTAAGCTCCCCAGCTCTCCAAGCTTGTTTAATACAATAGTAGAAGAAAAGTTCGAGCCTGCCATTCTTAAGCGAATTCAAACCCTCCGGCTTCCCGAGCTCGTCTAGTAGCGGTGGAAAGCTTCAACTCTACCGTTTTCTTAATCCTCAAACGAGATGAAATCTAGAGTTTTTTAACTTTCTCTTCAAGTATAAAGCCACATATCATAAATAATTATTCGTATCCTTCTTTATACTTAAAAAAAAAAATGAAAGCTCGTTGAAAGTTCTGCCTACACTTACCTCAACAGAATTGCACGCTTTCACCAGTTGCTGCAGAAGTAGAGCATATTTTCCCATACGTTGCACGGGCTTCAGTAAATAAGAGGCCAGATCCATTTTGTCATTCAATTCATATTGTTTGGACTGTAAAAAAGGAAACAAGTAAATAAATATGCTAAGCGATTTTTTTTTTGAATTTGTTTTGAATATTTTTGAAGCTCGTTTTAAAAGCTTCTGTGAGTAAAATGTGAAAGCTCAGCGCAAGACGCTTCTGCAAATTTTGTGATTAAAATGTGAAAGCTCGTTCATGAAAGCTCAGTGCAAGACGCTTCTGCAAATTTTGTGATTAAAATGTGAAAGCTCGTTCATGAAAGCTCAGTGCAAGACGCTTCTGCAAAATTCATTTAGTAATTATAATTGTGTCATTACCTTGAAGAACGCCGTGCCATATTCACTCATTAGCGTATCACTTTTCGGTTTGTTCTTATTATAGAGCGCATATAAATAGAATTTCGATTCCATCTCTAAGAAGGCGCTGCCAACCTTGAGCGGATTACGTTCATAACGTTCCAGTTCATTGAGAAAATGCCATTTGTGGAATTCGGAGATCTTCTCAATGTTGCCGAAAATGACATTACGTTGGCCGCGTAACGGCTGCGGTATGTCTTCGCGCAACAACTCGTCAACATAATTCTCAATGACATAATTCAACGAGTGTACATAGTCGCGTTCAGTGCCAATCATTTCACGCATGATCAATAGAAGCGTTCTAGAAAACGAAAAGAAAATTAATACGAAAGCATTGAAGGTCAGTGGTTAATGAGCAAGTATTTGGTTGAATAAATGTCAGAGTGTGTAGTTATTGGCGTACTTTTGTATTTTCGGATCCAAGCAGCTGAGTTCTTCCAGCTTCGACAATTCCAAACTTGAGGCGTGGTACTGCAGATGCGCATTCGCCTCCATGGGTGAGTGTATATCATTGTAGCGCTTAATCGGTCGTTCATAGCATTCGAAATCCAACTCATCGCTGTTGTGACTATAATTACAACAAAAAATATTGATATTTTATAAATCATAAATTCCACACTACACTCACCTCTTGCTGTACAAATTAGCCGCCTCGTTGAGACTCTGACACGAACAGACACGCGTCAACTTTGGATTCCCTTCGCAGCGTTCACAGCCGCCCACGCCAGAATCGGCGATCTTCGATTGCTCCTCCTCGCCATCTTCCATTTCGAGCTCTTCACCATCCACGTCCAACAACTCATCCATATCCTCCATATTGCGACTCTCACGCCAGCAATGACATGTCTGCCCGTCGAAGGAGCCAATACCGGAACTGGAGCGATGACTTAAACGATTCATGCGCGGCAGTGGTGTACTTGTTATAACGGCTACATGCTGTAGTTGTTGCTGCAGCTGTTGTTGTTTGGTTAAAGTGTTGGCGTTGTTACTGCTGAATGTGAGGTTAAGACTATTTGGTTTGTTGTTAATATTGCTGGCTGTTGCCTCTGCACTACGTATTTGGCATGTGGGCTCAGCGGCAGTAGTTAATTGCTCTGTGGCGATTTCTTCATTGCTGCAATCTTCAGCTTGTGCTAAATGTTGCTGCTTTTGACGATAATTTTCCAAGAGTGTTGTTGCGCCAGCCAATTCGCCTAGACGCTGAATCTCCTGCTGCATGTGTGCGTCGTGTTTGTGCGTCGCCAGCAATTGCTGCAGTCTGGATGCTGCTTCGATGCGTTCACGTGTCAGCTCCAACTTTTCGGCGAAGCAATCGAGCGCAGATTTCAAATTTACCGCACTTTCATGCAAAGCCTCGACGTTGACAGCTGCATCGTGTAGATCGCGGCCTTTGGCCAAGTGTTTCTGGAAGAGAAGAGGAAAATTTATTCGATTTATTTTGCATATAGGGGTTTTTGGGGCGAGTAAGTTTCTTTTCCAATGTTTTCGGATGGTAAGAGAGAGACTGGTGAGAAAGATCAGATCTAACTTCGGCATCTTCTTCGAAAAGGCAGACATTCTCGAGATCCCACCAGTATGGATGCTTTCACGATTGCTTCTGTGAAGGAGTTCACATGGAAATATAATGTAACAAGTCAAACTACAGCCTTTATTCTTGCTCAAGACCAAAGTGGTCACAAAAAGTGTTGATGAAGTGGGCTTTGACCAAAACCCCTCCAGAACCTTGAATTACAAATCGAAATAGACAATGAATGAGCTCTTCTGAGTCCGACTATCTCTAAGGGAGGTTTTTAACATACGGCCGCTTGAAGTCATTGTTCCTTCTTATCGCTGTTTGGCGAAAGTTGAAATTATCAAGTGGAAGCAGGCAACCTAATTCTTCTAACTGAGTAGAAGAGATCATATTTTCCTTTGTACTACATCAAATACTTTACTGGAGTGCTACCATCCTTTCGGACGAAAAGACCTATCCGGCGTAGCCGATGTCCTACACTCGCTGAACTATTATAATATAATCGTATAACTCGTATAGCTCATCGTTTCATCGTGTGTGGTATTCGCCGTTGCCAATACGCAAAGGACTATAAATCCTACGCAAAAATGTTTTCTCGAAAACTCCTAAGGCCGACTCATAGGAAGTTGTCATCATCCATACCTCCGTACCATATAGCAGGACGGGAATCATGAGAGACTGGTAGAGTTTGCAATATGTTCGTCGAGAAAGGACTTTACTTTTTAAGTAAACAGTACGCAGTCCAAAGTAACACTTGTCGGTAGAAAGCTGACATTTTATTCGTCTCTAGATAGACAAAATTATCTGCGACCTCGAAATTATGCCGGTCAAACCGGCTGTGGGAGTCAGTTTGCTTGATGACAGGAGATATTTCGTCTTATCCTTGTTCACTACCAGCTTCTTTGTCAAGCTTAGAGAAGGCGAACGGCTCTGCTGTTAAGGATGATATCAATGTTATTGGCATACGCCAGCAGTTGTACAGTCTTGTGAAAGATTGCGCTTTGTCCTTTTAGCTCTGTAGCTTTTCTTCTTCGAATGTAAGAAATCACAAGCAAAAGAGGCACTCTGCCTGAAACCTCGTTTCATACCGAGCGGCTGGGTGAGATTCTTCTCAATTCTGACTGTGGTGGTGTGTGTCGGTTTTTTCTCCCAGGTCTTTTCCAAGAGTTCCCACAATATGTATGACATACATGGGGTCCCATTTTTACGCACACTTAAATTCCAATCGTGACATGCTTTCCACCGACCATACGAGTATTCTCCAAAGTAGCGGATGTATGTAGCTTCTCAGTTCTTCACTGGCATGTTTGAATCGCCAGAGCCGGTAAGCCATCCGCTTAAAAATTGCTTCTAATTTTCTCAAATAGTGGCTTCGAGATTTTGTATTTCAAACTTCAGATTTTACTATCTACCTAGCCTAGTCTAGGTGAGAGTCCCACGGAGCCTATCGAATATCTGACTTATTACTTAAGCTTTGAGCTTAGAGTTAAGCTTTGAACTTACCATTGATATAAAGTAATATTTTTCAAACTCCTGCTCCTGCTCTTTGATAGCGCTTTCACAATCCAGCTGCAGTGTAGCAAAACGCTGAAGCGTATCATTGCCATCGCTGGTGATCCAAGATGTTACCTGTAATGAAAGAAAAAAGGTTTAAAATTAGTAAAAGCTTTGATGAAATGAAAAAAAAAAAATATTTGACCCCAAAAACATCTCCTGTCTCGCTTCGATCAACTCCGCCCCAACCCTGAGTATAATTGTAATAAGTTGTTGTTATTTTTTTATTAAAGTGGCACGAAATATCACAGAGGATAGAAGAAATGAGACGAAATCTAATCTTATCAAGTTGGGTTTTTTGAGTTGGTATTTTTTTTTACTTCACAAATCAGCTTTACTTATGACTCATCAGCCTATTTATGTAGCATCTAGACGTGGCGTGCAATTGTCGTATGTTAATTTCGATAAATTGAAGCAAAAATAGATTTTTGTGCATACCCCAAGAACCATTTATTTATACATATACATACAATATTTTGATTAATACATGTATATGTTTTGTGTAATTTGATGACCTCCTGTTTAATAAATAATAAATATTTATTTATTAAAATAAACTTTTGTTTGTATGTTGTCTAAAAATTCACGCGATTTAGCTACAAACAAATATCAAACCTCCGCGCATTTACTGATAAGAAACATATACACACCCACAAATTATATGAAAAGCTCGAACGAGTGCGAGCGAACTGCGAATTTTTGAGTTTGACGAGTGTAAATACCCAGACACTTTGCAAATTTTTTTGACTCACATGAGTGGAGACGTATATACATATATATATTTCATTTTTTTTAAACAAGTGTTCATATTTCATACACACATATGTATATGTGTATTATAAAATGAATAATTGATAAGCAAATTGATATGGACGTAGACAATTTCAGCGAAACTTGCGTAGATACGAGGCTTCGGCCCGAAAATGGAGGTGAAAAAGTATACCTACATATTAATTTATTTTTATATTTAATTTAATTTATATTTTGAGTGAATATTTCCTAACACTTGAATTTATTAATATTTATTTTAAATTATTAATTATTTTCAGCTAATTTTTGAGTTTAAAATATAAAATAAAATAAATATAAAATTATATGCATTCTACTAAAATGAAAAGTTTGAAAATATTTTTTTAATAACTGTAAAAAAGTAATAAAGTTATTACAAACACTTTATAAATATTATTTTTTTTTAATTTTCGTAGGTATTTTGTACTCAAATGAAAAGCTATAACAAATTTTAAAAGTAGAACGAGTAGTATTTTATATGGTATGGTATGGTAACGGACGATGGAGCGCTGAGCTGTACAAATTATACGATGATATTGAAATAGTTCAGCGAATGAACTAACATCCGAATGGATTTTACTTGGTATTTCCAACTGAAGTCATACAGCGAAGAGAAGTAACGAGCGCCGTGTTTTTGGTGATTCGGGTATAATCGTGTAAACGGTGCTTATGCCAATCATGAAGAAGAAAAGCTTCATTCTCCATCATTATCTGATCTTGGTGATTGGTTTTGTTACCTTGGCGTTGTTCCAGGAAAAATTAATTATCTAATTATACCACAGTTTCAGACTAGTTTAATACTAGTTCATTTAAGCACGTTGAATATCTAATGCACAAAAAAAATCGAAACAAACTTGCCAGCTATTGGATTCGAATGCTGAATCTCAAAGCGCTACAACGACACACAACGACGACATACCTTAACCATCGGTCATCGTGTCGATTTATCAACGACAAACTCGGCACTTCAATAGTGTACACTGCTGCTGTGATACGAATTATTATTTCCGTTTCTGATGAACTACTACTATACTTTTCTCAGTAAATATTGAACTAGTATGATTACATCCTTAAAATACTAGTTGCGAACTAGAATATTTTAATACCACTTTGGTTTTGCTCTACTGGGTATATACACGCGTATATTTGTTTATATGCTTAGATGTTTAGATAGAAATTTATATCAGATTATTTTTGGTAGAGCTAAGCAAAATTTCGCTCTCACATTCATGCACCGTTACTCGCTGCGGTTAGTTAGTACACTGTTCGCTGTGTCGAGTTTGTTTTGCTTGAAATAGATAAATATTAATAAACACAAAAATACAATCAAATGGAGCTTTTGTCGAAAGAGCGTGTGGAAATGGTAAATATTTTTTAGATACATAAATAAATACTAATAATTACTTAGAAAAAGTGTATATATGTAAATGTTTTGTAAACAATATATTCAAAAACTCTTTTACCCACAAGCGCAAGCATCTGAAAAAGGTGCTCAGCCCAAAGGAAAAACCCTTCGATGGCCTACGTGCACGTACCGTTGTTTTGCTCACACATCGCATTGATGGCGCTAAAGTGTTCTTCAAAATGACTCATAAAGAACCTCTACGCCACAATCGTTTTGTAGCATGGAAGTACTGTAATCTCATGCATATGGCTATGCGATATGGTTCACCGTTAATACTCGAGATGTTGGCACAGGTGCAACAACAGAAAATCCTTCATGAAGTAGCTGATTATTGGACATATCACAGTGATGCGATATCTGTGTGTATAGTGAAATATTTGAAATTGTTGTTGCACAAATTAAGTTTCCAACGCAATTACTGCTTCTTCAATGGTGCGCTGGAGGCGGACATTACCAAAGATTGGAATGTGGATTTGTGGTAGTTATAAAAAAAAAACTATTCTTTAAATTAGCATAAATTTATTTATTCTTTTCATCTTTCTCTTTTAGCTACCAATTGTGCACTGACATCTTTGATTACTTGGATAATTTGCTCTGCTTGCAGCAGGCCATCTTCACCAGCTTCACACTGCAACAACTCATGCGCGCCACGCCAGAATCGCTCTGCCGCTTGCAACCGCTCATTAACATCGCCGCCGAGTGTAGCATTCTGTATGATCAAGCGGTGAATGCCATGGCTGTGGTTTGTGGCAAATTGCCACCTGTCGATGTACTGGGTTTATGCAATCGCTTCTATTCGCTTTATCAGCTATTGCGTGGCTTTTACAGTTCATTGCAGCAGGTGAAAATCCTATTGAAAATGGAATATATACCGGAGTTGTCTACCGAAGTGCCGGACTTCTTGGCTTATAGCAGTAGTCGTGTTGTGTGTGACGGACAGCCGACTGCACCGGCCGCATGGCAGTTGGATGATTTTTGAGATATAACGACATCAGGCGGCATTTGTTGGCGGAAGAAGAAGGTGGAGAGAGGCAGAAATGTTTTAAGCAAAATATTGTGATCATTGTGCATATGCATATACCTTTTTAGTACTATTTAGTATTAGATTAGATAAGAAATTTATTTCCATTAGATAATGTGCTATTGTATATAAAATATGTTAGTCCGAAAAGAAAATATTAAAGTATTCAGAAATGTAATTGACACAAATATTATTTTGAACATTAACAACACGAATGTGAGAGATTGCTTTTATTCGAGAAGACTCGGTCATAACTTTTAACGTAATTCTGCTGCAAGGAATTTTCCAGCCCAGTCATCAACAAAAGTTATCTTGGCGCTTAAGGGATAAAGCTCCTCTAGGATTTTGGAAAACACAATTTCTTATTTTTTTTTGCTCAGAGGGCATCTTTGTTTTCTAGGAATTATATGTAATTGGCTTCAAAGGGAGAAAAAAAAATAAGATTAATTAAGGCCAAACGGATGCCATAATAGCACAGGTACCAGTATTAACCAAGTATTCGACAAGTTACGTGGAGTCCACCTGTCTATAGGTAGCCGGAGGTTTCGTAGGTATCAGCGACTTTGTGACCTGAAACCGAGCTCAACGCATCGTAAATTTCGATCTTTGACAAATAGCGCCTCCATTTGTTTATATATTAACTAAGTCGCCTCCAAACGAGCAATGCTTTCTGTTTCATGTCAGCAATACACCCGGAGGGCTTTCATACTCTCTGCCGAGCGCTTGTTGGTCGGAACAGAACTCGAATTGTGAACTTCAGAATGGCTGTACGCACTTATTTGCAACTACACTTTGGAACAGTAGATGTTCAGCTTCCTTGCTAGGTGTCAGTTAACCTTGAATTGATTCTACCCCTCTCTGTAAGCCTATACCCAGAGCTGATTGCAAGTGCTTGGTGGTACCGCCGAGTCTCCAAACTATCATGGGCACCAAGCCAATGCCTCTGTAGGGTATGAAGGAGAATTAAGATGCCAAAAAAAGTTAACTGTACTAAATACCAACGATCGGGGGGTTAAAGGATTAACCGTGCCGTGGAATAATGTAATGTAATGTAATGTGATGATCGAATACCTGGACATACATATTGCTGAGCTCCCATTTTACAGTTCCCTAATCTAAGCGATCCCACGCTTCTGAGCATGAAGAATAACATGCCGTTAGCAAAGCATCAGCAAAGCACCAAAAATTCAGAGTTTGATTCAGTATGCTTAAAAACTTTCTAACTGCACTTTTAGCAGGATGTTAGGCACTTTGGTACTACCCTAATTCCTACGAGTGTGAATGTATATTAAAAACGCCTCCGTAATCTAATCGGCAAGCCTCAACTGAGAACACAGCTTGTGTGGTCCAGATTTGCGTATTTATTTGTTCTTTTAATTTACTTTAAATTATTTATACTATGAAGTCGCTTTGAAGCTGCTGTTTAAATCCCATTGTTCATTCACCCGCTTTTGCTGACGTCTCCAATCGTGTGACACCAACACACACACACACACACAAAACGGTATTAAGTATCGATGACTTGTTTACCAATAACTTTTTTGCTGCGATAAGGTGTGACAAATTCAATGAAAAATGCAATTAAGTCAATGCAAATGAAATTAAGGCAATTGAGATGGTATGGGTGTGGACATATGTACATACATACGAGTATGTATACGCACAAACATAAGCGAAGGTGGTGAGTATAGAGGGTGGATGCTGAGAGGAGTGTGATTAACAATAGTGGGAAAATTGAGCGATTTAAAAAACTCCAAGAATTGGGGTCACTAGATTATCATATGTATATAAGTATGTACATATTTGTCATATCAAATAATACTTAACAAGGATTGAATGCATTAGTATTGCAATTGAAAATCAGAGTCAGACGTTAATGATATTTTGCTAGATCTTTGCGAAGTAATCGTAATTTAAGTAGGAATTTATTCCCTCTTATTATCTCTTATCAATTGTAGCAACAATAATTCATGATTAATTGCGAATTAAAAACGGGAAATGGCTTTTTGACATAATCAAAATTACAACAATAAAATGATGATGAGAGATTTCGAACTTCATTTATACAAATATTTATGAAAAATAATTTTAATTTATAATGCATGAAAAATTTTAAACTGACACCTTTTATTAAAATTAATGATTTGTGAAGAGAATTCCTCGTCAGTAAAACTATTTGTGCAAATATTTATAATTTGAATGAAAGTCGTAGTAAATAATATTTAAACTTAAATACTTCACGGCACTTTATTATTAAAATATATTAACATAGTGTAAACAATTTAAAAAAAAAAAAGTATAGAAACTATAACAAATTCAAAGGAATGTAATGAAGGGGGATTCTTAAAAAAAATTGGAAAAACTAAAGACCTAAAATGAAGTGAAATATTAAAATAAAATAAAAACAAAATGAAGTAAAATAAAATAAAATAAAAACAAAATGAAGGAAAATAAAATAAAATAAATTAAATTAAATTAAATAAAATAAAATAAAATAAAATAATATAAAATAAGATAAAATAAAATAAAATAAAATAAAATAAAATAAAATAAAATAAAATAAAATAAAATAAAATAAAATAAAATAAAATAAAACAAAATAAAATAAAATTAAATATATATTAGAAAATTTTCTAAAATAAAAGTATATAAAAAGAAGAAAAATAAAGAATAAAATAAAATAAATAAGGAAATAAAACACATTAAAAAAAAACAAACAAAAGGAGAAAAAATATAATAAAATAAAGTAAAAAACATAAATAAGAGAAGTAATATTTAAAAAGAAGAACCATATTAAAATAAATGTTCATCACTAATCTATGTAAATCGGCATATACATATACTTAGGACAATATTCTTCACCTTGCTGTAATCGACTTCCCACATTTGCAATTTTCGCCAATTTTCGCGCAATCAAAATAGTATGATTTGCGTGTAGCAAGTAGTCGGAAAGAATGCATGAGTCCAATTTGGGCAAAAAAAATATTTATAGTTATGTATAAGACTGTGTATGGTTAAATCTGCACTTTTGTACGTAATTGGAGCACGTGCCTCACACTCCAACAAATTGCATGCGCACTACCGTTCGCGTGGCTTCGACTTCGGCTGAAGTTGGCTATTTTTAATGAATGGATAGATGCGCCATTCAATAAGAGAAAATAAGCACACACACACAAAAGCGGGTGTCCGATCCACAGAAGCAATTGCTGCGGTAGCTCCAACGGTCTGACTTCGTCTTTATGGGGAAGCAATAAAATATCTCAAACGCCAACCATGAGCTCTACTATTCCACATTTTGTCTGCCGTTTGCTACTACAAGCGATGCTATCAATTCAATTGACCGTTGGAATGAATAGTAACATTCAACAACAGCAATAAGCTAGAGCAAAAGCGACATGCTGCTACGTCTAAGCTTCCAACAGTGGCGTGAACTTGGTATCGCCTGGCTTTGAACACAGCAGGTGAGCACACCGCTGCGACTCCAAAATCCTCACTCATTCACGGCGCGCGCGCGCGCGTTCGCTTTTGTTCGTTAACTGGCCGGCATCCAGCGCTACCATTAGCGGCCGTCTTGCTTCGGCAATTGAGAATTTCTTTATCCAATTTTCATATCTAATGGGATTTTAATTTGAAAATTATTAATTAGTAACTGACAATGTCAGCTTGTCTGTCTGTGCGCTGTGAACGCGTTGGAGCATTTCTTCTACTGCTCGCTTGAGCTCAGCGCACCGTTGATGATGATGCGCGTTATGTTGCACGCGCTTGGCAGCGCCTTAAGTGGCATGCGTGAAAATTGATTGCCGCTGTTGCACTGCCACAAAAGGTTTACAGTAAATATTGCTGCAGACGTCGACTAGTAAAAGTTGCTGCCACCGACCATTCGTGGCGCTCAAGGCATGCGGAGCGTGAGTTTGTTGCTTGCTTTTTACATGCACGTACATATATAATATAATAAGTAAGTAAGTAAGTACGTAAGTAAGCATGTGTGTAAGTATAATAAATACGTAAGCAGGCAGGCGTGTAGCCATAATTTCTGTAGCAGATCATAAAGCATAATTGAAAAATTGACAAATGATGGAAATGTTAGATTTGTGATGTGTGATAAAATAGTGATTTATACGCCTTGTTGATGTTGGCGAATAAAAAAAAGGAAAAAGTATAAAATTAAAAAATAAATATGTAATTACTTCTGTTGCCTTACGCTTGGCTTATAGTTGCCGGCGTTAGACTGTTTAAAAGAAAGTGTGGGCATCTTAAGTATTTAATTTGATTTGACGATTGTGTCACGGATTGTGTGAATAAATGAATTTCCCTTTTCCACCAGAAAAAAAAAATTAAATAAAAAATTAAAAATAAACTTAATGAAAAAATGAAAGCGAAATACGAAAACTCTTTCTTGTCATCAATTTCAGTGTTGTGCGGGTTCTGTCACTATTGGGAAATTGAAAATTTCACCAACCTCCCGTGTCATCTGCCTAACAAGCAACGGTAGTTAGCCTCTATGAGACTCTTAAAATGGAGCAATCAAATTGCAATCACCTATAACAACTACAACAATAATTGTAAATATTTACCTGCATTTCATCAATAAAATATACCCCACACGCAATTAAAAAAAAATTGTTTTTAAAAATTCCTAAAGAATGCTCCAAAAGAAAGGAATATTTTATACCTTCAGCGGTAATTCCTCTCTTAGTATAATAGCCCCTATAATGAGGACATTGAAATACCGCTTTATTCATATTTTCTTGATAATGTTATTGATAACTCACACTCGCTTCCACTCTAATTGGGAAAGCAATACGAGCTTGAATTAGCCGATTAACAACGGCCAGATAGAGTGAGATTGAGAGAGAGGGTAAAAGATAGAGGGAGAGAGAGGAAAGAGAAGGATAGAGAGGAAACAGTGGGAGCTGGCAAGAGAAGGAGAGAGATAGATATATAAACTCTTTGTTTTTTTGGAAACAGCAAGTAAACCACCTCCTTCTCCACCTGATTGCCTCATGTTGCAACTATCCGGCCATAGCAACCTATCTTATGAGAGCGCCATGTAAACACAAAGTTATCCTCGCTTGCCCATGCCGTTACGGACGATTGTTCCGCAGAAACCAACGACGATTTGAGTTTTTCCGCAAAACCGGCTCGACTCATTTCTCGTTGCTAT